AAAGATTATCCAAGTTTTGTAGTTCCATATAGAACATACATATGTAGACTGATTCTTCTGGTCTTTTTTCTCTTCTCTCTTCTCTTTTCTCGTTTCTTTCCTTTTCTTTTCTTCTCTTCTTTCAGGTTCAAGAACATTCGAGGGGCGCAGATAGTGAGAAAGAGCTTGCAAAGAGGGACGGATGAAGGGGGGCAAAAGGAAGGGGCGATAAGAAAGTTGCGAGATAAGAACAAGAGCAAATAATTTGCTTTTAAATTACTTTCACATGTTCAAAGTTTGCATTGGAATAATAAGCGGAAATTTCAGACGGGGCAAAAAAATAAATAGAAAAAAAAATGAGATATGATCTACATTTGCTGGCGGGAAAAAATACAAATTATTAATATGTATAAACTTTGACTTTTGCGCTGTGCTTTGTTTCGTTTGAGTTTTTATAATTTGTTCTTTTTTTTTGGGTTTTATTTTGGGTTTTTTTGTACATATATTTGTGCTTCATTGTTTTTTGCCGCTGGCAAACACAGAAATTCCATTAAAATGCCAAGTGACACTTTTTAGCCGACTCTTTCCGTCGTTCTCCCCGTTTTTATTCCATATTTCCAGTTTTATTTATTTTTACTGGCCAGCTAAATACAATGTATAAATATCTTTGTAATATATGTAGATTTTTTTCCAGATATATTACATTTTCAAATGGTTTATTTAATTAAGTATTTCTTTAAATGGTTAACAAAAGTATTAACCTATTTATACTATATACTATAGTACTAAAAACTCCCTTCTATTTTATTATATTTTTAAAATTTATTTTTACTTTTCGCTTTTCTTAAACATTTTGTATTCTAGCAATTTTTCCAACAAAAATTTAATTTTTATTATTGATTTTAGATTTTCTGTTTATAAATATATATTTATTAAATAAAAAATCCATAAATGTTAAACCTTGTTGCTTAAAAATAAATTTAAAGTAAAAATTTATGTTCAAAATGTCACATATTCATTTTGTATTACTGATTGTAAAAAAACTGCTTATAAATATTTATTTATAAAATTAAAAATCCATAAATGTTAAACTTTGTTGCCTCAAAATAAGTATAAAGTTAAAATGTATGTTTTAATACACAAACATAATTTGTATTTCATCCTCAGTTTAAAATTTAGAATTCTAGCAATTTATTTATGCAAGAAAAATTATATTTTATTTTTGAGTATAGATATAAAGCCTATACAAAAATCTTTTTCTAAATTATTACTTTTTTAAAATCCTATAAAAACTTTATATTAAGGGTTAAAAAGTTACTTAAGGATCTTCAAAAAAGAAGTCATAAAAGGGTTAAAGCACAAGGACGGTAATTTTGGTTTCTTTTTCTCTACGATTTTCTTTTCTTTTATTTTATTTTATTTTACTTTATTTTTTGTTTGGCTCTTCATCTTCTTTTGCCATCAGTGAAAAGGCGCTGTTGCCAAACTTCATTTGGACGTGAAGTTTTTTTTGTTTCTCTTGTGTGTTGCGTATTTCTTTTTGTTTTTACCAACTCGGCCTTTTTTTTGTTTTTTTTTTTGGTTTTTTGTCTTTCTGGAGGAGGAAAAATCAATATGCGGATTGCGATTGCATTTAAATGAACAAGAAAACGGCAAACAGTCGGAAAACAACAAGAAAATCCACGTACAATGTACATATGTAGGTAAATATACAACTGTGTTTAAGATAATAGAATTTTTTAGGCTTAAAAACGCAAAAAACAATACTGCATATAGATAAAGATATAATAATAAAAAAATATATATCATATAAATATTACAAACAATCTATAAACCTATTCTTAAAATCAAATTCTTTATAATTATATAAAAGGTTTAACAGATAGTATATATATAATATCATATAATAAAGATTTATTCATTCGAATGAAAAAAAATTTATAAACCTATTTTTAAAACAAGTTTTTTATAATTATAGAAAGGTTTAAAATATATTATTATATATATAATATCATATAATTAAGGAAATAATAAAGATATATCATTTAAGTAAAAAAAAATGTATGAACCCATTTTTAAAATCAAATTCTTTTTAACTATAGAAAGGTTTAAAAGATATTACTATACATATATCATATAATTAAAGAAAAAATAAAGATATATCATGTAAACAAAATATAATGTATGAACCCATTTTTAAAATAAAATTCTTTACAACTATAGAAAGGTTTAACAAAAATTATTATTATATTAAATACAATATATATACTTTTTGTTTGTGTGTATAGTGAGTGTGTGGCAACAAATAAAATATGGTAAGCACAGCTAAAAACAAAAAATAAAACCGGTTCAACAAGAAATTCTACGTGCGGCTTATATGAAAAAATATAAAAAAAAAGACAACAAAGCAAAGAAAAAAATCTTTGAGAGACAGCCAACAACAAAAACAAAACCCACAGGCCACGTATACCCCATCTATAAACATATATACAAATATATGTATATATAGTATAGCTATTCACATTTCAGGCACAGAAAAGAAATTGGTAAGACAGAAACAAAATAAAAAAAAGCACAAGTAATATTTGCATAATTAAAATGCTAATGGGAGATTGCAATACATATGTACAATACAATGAAGTTGTACCAAAGACAGAGCCCAGAAAGGTATAAATAAATAAAACTACAAATGTATGGAAATATATACCACATATAAGGCGGAGACCCGAAGAACATCAAAAAATAGACACAAAAATATAAATGAAGACAAAAAAAAAAAACTTGATATTTTTGGCGCCACACGTATGGATGAGCATAGAAGAAGAAGAGGAGGGCTACGAACACATGGGGAATTGGAATTCCAAAAATTAAATCAAGTGAGTTGAAGAACCAGATCGCGGACTTTAAACTCACGTGGAAAGTATCAAAAGAAACCCATTTCGATCTATAAAAGGGGTGTTTTCAAACCAGTTAAACGAGAATTTTTATTATTCCATGGGTTTAGTTCGTATATTCTGAAATATATACGATTTTCAAATGAAATATTAAAAAGATATGTTCGTTTGTACTCGAACCAATAAGAAAACCATTTTCATAGAAAAATATATGTTTTATTTTTTATTTTATAGAAATATATATAAACTAAAATTTTCGTATAATCTCTTTTGGTGTAAAATATTTTGAAATGAAATTTGAATATGTAAAAAAGAATTAAATAATTTTAATGGTTAATATCAAACACACAAGCAAATGCCTTTACATCTTTTGTAACTATATTCTTTACTAATGAGTTAATATATAAGAAATCCCTCAAATAATATAAATCTTTCATTTATTAAGATTTGTTGTTTATATATCCCTATTATTAATTAAAACCTTTGACTTTTAATTTATTTTAGAGATTGAAACTTTCAAATAGACAATAAAACAATATATTTTAGGTTTGTAATTATAATATTAGGTTTTAGTTTAGTTGTTCTTGAAAATAATGCACTATGTTTAATTCAATTTATAAAGTTTTGAGCTCTAACCGACGGGTTTTTTTAATTTTGTTTTATTAATAATGTTTATAAGGAACATTTGGTTAATCAAACACGGAATAAATATTTTTTTTAGTATATTTAAAAGAAATTTTCAAATTAAGATTTTGTTTTACTTTATGAAACTCAAATCCAAAGCACATTCTTTTACAAAAAAGGCTATTTTTGTTCCTATACCGAAATTTATTTTAATCTTGTGAATATCTTTTAGTCATAATAACTAATAACTAAAATAATCAGCCTAATCACCAAACTTTTTTTAGATTGAAATATTTTTATTTATAAAATATTTATATTTATAACCAACACTCAATTTCTATGAAACGCTTTCATAAATAAAAATAAACTCGTATCATATCTCAAAGACAAAGTCAAAAATGAGATATAAAAATATATTCCCAATTGGTTAATTAACTTTTAAAAGCTAATAAAAACCTTTAATAGGTTTATATAAATAAACAATATAAAGAAATAGAAATGGTATATGATTTTACCCATCTTTTTGAGTTTCAGTCATAAAAAACCACAATTTAAAAATGATTGACACGTGTTTTTCTGAAATAAAACACTCTATTTATCTTAATTCCTTCAGAGATTGTTTATTTTACACACAAACTGCTTGAAAGCTCAGAAATATGTTAAAAGAAATAGGTTTTACACACTTTTTTTTAAGAACTTACCCGTTGGACGAAGAATGATGGTTAAATCCGCGATGAAAAAATCCGTGAGAATCCATGATAATAAGTTTTTAACTTTATTTTATTTAAGCTTTAAATTGATTTGCAATTTTTCTCTGCTTTTTTTCAAACGGCACATATAACGCGATATCTTATTTTCTATTGATTTTTCGCATTTCAGTAACGTAACAATAAAAAAAAGTTAACTTTATATGGCAATATACACATATCTTTATATATATATATATCTTTTATTTTTTTTGGCGAAGGGGGGTATAAAGCAAATAACGGTATAATTTTCATTTCTTTTTTAGCACAGGGCGTTGTCGTACCCAAAAAAATTTGTGTTTTTTTTGTTGTTGTTTAACAAATTCTCTCCCTATACGTGTGTGCGTATGTGTGTGTGTGTGTGCGACTTCATTTTTTTTTTTTAATTTGTAAATGTATTAAACAACAAAAAATTAGAACACACGCACACAAGCACATTTAGAAATTTTTCCACTTTAATGGGAGAGCGAGCGAGCGAGCGAGAGAGGGAGGGAGCGAGCGAGAGAGAGGGAGTAGAAAAAAAATCGCGACGCAATTTTTATAAATATATATATTTTTCCTTTTTTTTTTTTGCTGCTTATACAGCTTAACTTCTTTTTTTTCTTCTTCCTTTTGCTAGGCACACCGACACACACACACACACACAGAAAACCGCACGTATATTTTTTTTATATATGTATGTATATATATATATTTTATTTTTTAGATTTTGGCGTTATTTCCTTGATTTATTTAACGTAATGCGTTGCACATTTACCTCGGTTAATTTTCGTGAATTTGTTATAAATAAATTCGCAACGTATATGTTATCTGGCGCAAACGTTGTCAATTTTTCACATGCTCTGCGCGCAGCACACACCCGAGTTTTTAGCCATTGAACAACGACAACGACAACGCAGCGCCAGCTCGACGGCAGCGACGCCGGCAGCGACGTCGGCAGAGGCAACCGCAACAGACGCAGATGTTGCGTCTTATCTTTGCCTCCTTTTTGTTTGAACTTTTTCTACATTTTATATTGCCTTGGGAAAAAGGCTAAATATTGCTTAATATTACTTTGAGGCATATCCAAAAATCTGTATAAAATTGTAAATAAAATTATTATTATAAAATTATTTTAAACGAAAACGAGTGAGAGAGAGCGAGAGAGAGAGAGTTGCCTGGTTGCCTTGCCTCGCTTTTCGCCGTTAGTCAGTGAGGTTCGAACGCCAAGCCTCGACGTCATCCAACCGCTTCGAACCGTTTGCAACCGCTTCGAACCGAACATCGAACCCGCACAGTGGCTTCCCAAATTATTTCACATAGTGCACAGAAGCAATTTTAGTTGGTTTACTTAAAGGCCTTACTAAAATGTAATATTTATTGGAATTGGTGGAGATTAATGGACAATAAAAGTCATAAGTCATAGAATCTTAATTCATTAATATAAAACCTACTCACATACGTATAACATATTACTAATATATATTAGACTTATGTAAATCATAGTATGATATATAGTAGTATCATAGTATAGTAACATATTACCACTATATAAAATACATAAGTCATATTATCTTAATTCATTAATATAAAACCTACTCACATATGTATTAAACATATGTAAATCATAGTATCTTAATTCATTAATACAAAACTTACTAATAAATAACATATTACCACTATATAAAACACATAAGTCATAGTATCTTAATTCATTAATATAAAACCTACTCACATATGTACATATAACATATTACACATATATATTAAACATATGTAAATCATAGTATCTTAATTCGTTAACATAAAACTTACTAATAAATAACATATTACCACTATATAAAATTTTACTACTATATATAAGCATCATATAATTTTCCCATAAAAGCTCGTTAAATTATATGATATTTATATTTATTGAACATAGTGGTGCTTATTTTACAACAAATAGTATTAATAAACATGTAAGAGCTTACTATAAAACATAAGTACATATTTGTTAGTTAAACAAGTTAAGCTTCAATTAGTTTAAGTCGAAAATGTATTACTTTGTATTTTATAAATATTTTTGTAAACATATCTTGAATAAGTCCTTTCAAATTTTTACATTTTTTAATTTATAATTTATTTTATATATATTTATTTTTTAATTTATAATTTATTTTACATATACTTTATAAATATTTTTGTAAACATATCTCGAATACATCAATATTTTTTGGTTATTATTTTTTTTTAATATTTTATTTTAGAAATATTTGTTAAACATATGTATATTTATTACATAGAAATTTTTGTTTTTAAAATATTTAATCATATTTTGAATACATAGAAATTTTTACTATATATTTTGTTTTAGAAATATTATTTAATCACATCTTAAATACATTGAAATTGTTGATTTTATTTTTATTTTAAAGGTATTTTTTAATCATATCATGAATACACAGAAATTTTCACATTTTTTTATTTAAAGTATTATTGAAAATTAGTTGCTTGTGCAAAAAATATTTATGAATTAAAAACTTCTTTTATTTATTTGTGCTTTATATCTTATTTCTTAGAATTTGATTAAGTTGGTTTTATCTTAAGCTATCATTTAGTTTCTATAAATAAGAATAAACATAAATATGTTTATGTTATGTTTATAAACATGTTTTATACAGTTCTAGGTGTTTACTAAATATTTAAAAATATAAAGTACCTTTTTTTTGGATACCTATTTTTATTGCGCTTTCACAATACTTTTTAAAAACATATTTACACGATTATATGTATAGATACATGTAATATAGCTATAATTAATAGAAATATCAGAAAATGCTATTTAATTAAAATTATTATGTTATGAAAATAATAGAATAGACAAATACCCGGCCTTATAAAAGGAACCTTTTACAAATTTCAATTTTATTTTATTTGTTTATAAGTCTTTTTTTAATAGTATTTTAAGTACTTAATTATAATTCTTTTTTTAATGGTATTTAAAGTACTTATACTAAAGTCAAACCAAATTAAATAATAGATAAAGTAATAGAAAAGGAATTTTCAACAATACTTTTCCAAGTCTATTTTTTCCATGGGTATTACGAGTATCAGTTACCCATGTTTATAGAAAACTTTCCGCGGAAAACGATCTAGTTTGGGGAACTTGAGCTCTTCGCCTGGCAAAACATTTGATAAATTGAAAAATGAGCATTTGCAATGGTTTAGTTTTCGTTCTTGCGCACTTTTCCCCCGCCCCTCCCCGCATTTTCCCAACCCTTTGATAATTTTCATTCGTCTGCGTTCATGTGTTTTGTTTCCCCCCCCCCCCCTTCGGTTTTTTGCTTTTTTCGTCACTTGCCAATTTGCAGTGAAAGTGAAATGCGCTGAGCGCAGGCGGTTTGAAAAGGGGCGGGGTCGCGGGGGGTCAACAGGGGGAGGGGGTGGGGGGTCGCAGTGGGTGGTGGGCGGTGGGCAGAGGGCAACGGCCAGCGTAGGCCGAGCCTAAAAGCGAAAAAAAAGAAGAAAAAAACCCAAACACACGTGCGATTTACCTGCGAATCGCTCAATCAGGTTGCATGTTCGCTCCACTCATCGAACCAATTTTCTATGTAGGTACGTACATATGTATTTTTTTCGCTAATTAAATGTAAATCTACAAAGCACATACATACATACTTGTATGTACATTTGTAGTTTTAAATTGTTGCACCTAATTTATGCTACAATCATGCCCATTTTGCGATAAATTTTATATCCAAAACTATATTTTAATCCTTCAAGTTAAGATATTAAATAAAAAAAATCCATTTGTCTTAAAATATTAAATTTCTTCAACACTTTAATTTAATTGAATATGTAAAACTATGTTTAAGTCAATAAAACATAAGTTATAAAATTAAAAACAAATATTTTTGTCTTACGCTACTACTCATTTTTAAACAAATTTAATTTCCCAATGAGTTTTATAATTAAAACTATGTTTCAGTCCTTCGAACTCAAACTATAAAATACAAAAAAAAAATTTTTCTTATTTAAGTTCGCATTTTTTAATAATTTTAATTTCTTAATCAATTATATATTTTAAAACATTGTTAAGTCTCTTGAATTTCGGAAAGTACAAAAATAATGGTTTAAATAATAAAAGTTTAATTTATTTTAGCTAGTTTTAGTCTATTTTTGGTTGTTATTTTGGTTAAATTAAATCATATTAAATTGTATCACATTTTTAAACATTATTTTAAGCTTCTAAACTTCCGTATTCCTTTGGTTGTAATTTTGTTTAAAATAAATTATATTAAACTTGTTAATCAGTATCACATTTTCAAACATTTTTTAAAACTTCTGAACTTCCTTAACTTTCCTAATAAATCCTATTTACTGTTAAACCTTTTTTATAATTAAAACTATTTTTCAATCCTTTGAACTTAAGATGTTAAATAAAAAACAAATTGTATGTCATTTGAGTTCTTGCTATTTAATAAATTTATTTTGTTCATCAATTTTATACTAACATTTTTTAGTCTTTCGAAGTTCACAAAGGTAAATATAATAAAGCTGCACACATATTAAATTATAAATCTAAAATTGTTTATCTATTCTATGTTTTTTTTGGTTTATAATTGGGGTAAATCAATTTTTTCACCAATATTAAATTTTTAAACTGTTTTTTAACTTTTAAAGTGTTGAAGTCAGATACCAAAAATTGATTAATGTTTTTAGCATTTTAATGATAACCAAAATTTTTTTTTCAAGATTACACTTCTAAACTATTCAGAATTGTTAAAATAATTGTTGATTTAATAAAATTATTTAATCGAGCTGAAAATAATTGTCAATTTCATAGAATGAATTAATGGAGCCGAAAAAAAGATATTTTCCAAATAATTGTTGATTTAATAAAATGAGTTAAATCAATTTAATTGAAATTAATTAATTGCGCTGAATACAAATTATTTTGAGTACATTTGCGCTAATGTTTCAGGTCTATAAATATTGGATGTTGTTGGTTTGCTTTGTTATTATTAGGTCTTTTAGCCCTCTCTTTCTCGCCTCTATCCCCTTACCCCCCCCCCCCATTCCCCACTAATACCTTTTTTTACTTTTCCACCTCCCTCCTTTCTCCGCCCCCCTTTTTGTTGTTGTTTGCAACCGGCCGGCGGAAGACTTGCAACATTTTTCTAAACGCTTTTTTTCCCCTTTTTTCCATTTCATTTTGCCAATCCAAACCCCCAGCAACGTTGCCTGTTTTCAGTGCAAAAAACACAGGCACACACAAAAGCGGCAACGTCGCAACATGTTCGAAGCCAACTGAAAAGTGGCAACGTCGCTTGAGCGAAAAAAAAGCAACTGCTGCAGCAGCGACATTTTATAACAAACATAAATAAATAAAAGAAGCGAAAATAGCAAGAGAGAGAGAGGGAGAGGGAGATGAAGACAGAGCAAAGGAGATGGCATGAAAATGCCGCTCATACACGTTGCACTTGCATGTCATGCCGCATCAAACAAACAAACGCACTCACAACATCATACCGAAAGTATTTTTAAAACCATTTCCATTCTCCGTCATTCTCCCTCATTCATTTTCAGTCTTTCGGAACAAGCGTGGAAAGTGGGTCTGTTAAAGTTTTTTTTCAAGATATAGCATCGTAAATATACATATACATATAGATCGGGCGAGAGCAATCGAAATCTTTCAAAATCAAATCTTCACTTTCCTTGGAAAAAAGTGCAATATGACCGCCATAGGCACCAATCATCTGTACGATGAACCCATGGTAATGGAGGAATTCATCAGCTGTTATCGACATTTCACCGCTTTGTGGGATAGCAGCAGTCCTGACTACCTGTCAAAACAGAAAAAGGAACCCGGCTATCAGGAACTATTGAAAATCCTAAGACGCGTCAATGGCGGTTGTTCCGTTCAGGATGTTAAACGCAAAATCAACTCAATCAGATGCTGCTATCGTCGCGAAATCAAGAAGGTACAGGCCTCCACGGTTGGCTATAAGCCGCGTCTCTGGTGGTTCCATCTAATGGACTTTTTGAAGCCGGTCCTCAACATCACGTCGCCGGTCAGGGTGAAATCGGAGAGCATGGACGACAGTCCCGACGAGACTAGCATTCATGTGAGTTAAAAAATGTATTATCATGGTAATACTTTACATCTAAATTTGATATATCATATGTTCCTAAGTATTTACCAAACACTTTACTATTATTATTGTTGTATATATTACCTATATACATATTATTACTATTACCATAGGTTATATTATCTAAAAATCTTTATAAAGGTAAATATTGTATACTTCGTACATATATCCTTTTATGTATATATCTATTTTTATCATTTTGGTATATGGTCACACTTAAATTTTTTTTTTGTAAAGTCAGTAAGGCAATATATTAGGTAATATAAAATAAGTAAGTAAGTAAGTATACTTTATTTTTTAAATCATGACACATATACAAATCTTTATAAAGGTAAATATTGTATAATACGTATATCCTTTTATGTATATATCTATTTATTTATAACTTTGGTATATGGTCATACTTAATTTTGTAAAGTCAGTAAGGCAAGATATTAGCTAATATAAAATAATTAAGTATACTTACATAAAACTAGAACCTGTACTTTATTTTTAAAATCATTATACATATACAATATGTACATATCATATAAAACGGACAGACAGGGTTCCAGTTTGATGGCTTGTTCGACGTGGTTTGACGGCGGTCGTACGACAATCGATTCGCCGGTCGTACGACAAGCGGCGTTCATTCATGTTTATTCTACGGTCTTTCGCCATGTCGCACAGTCACACGGCCATCGAATATTGGACGGAGTTCTTTCAGATGTACCGCTCCATGCCGGAATTGTGGTTGGTGCGCAGTAAAATGTATCGGGATCGCCGGCTAAAGGACGAATCCTATGGCCGTCTATTGGATTTAATGCACACCACCGATCCGCATGCCAATATCCACACGCTGAAGCGTAAGATAAACAATTTTCGGACCTCGTACCGCCGCGAACTACGCAAGGTTTTGGATAGTGACCACAGCTATGTGCCATCGCTTTGGTATTTCAAAGAACTTGATTTCCTGTACGAACTGGAAACCGGGGAAATGCAATTGTCCAATGCGCGAGTGGCTCATGATCAGGATCCCGATACGAGGGAAGTGCATCATAATGATGAAAGCATATCGGTGTACCAACCCGTCATGGAATCGGAGGAAACCCTGGGATTTGAGCAGCGTGATGAGAGCGGAGTGGAAAACTCCGTCATGGGCTTGGTTCTAACCGAGGAATCCGAAAGCGATCAAGTCCAGCATATGGTCAGCGAAGTGAGTGCATCTATAGAAAATACGTAGGCCCAGTATATCCGAAATATATATATTTTTTAAATTATGGAAAGATTTTAATAATAGCTTTTGGGATCCCGTTTTCTTGAATATTATTACCTATAGTTTAAAAGTATCATTAATATATCATGTTCTATAAACTAAATATCAAAATAATACCATAGTAATATTTCCTCGATCTAGTCCAACACATGGTAAGGCGAAGTGAGTGCATATACATACATATGTAGATAGGAAATCCATAGGCCCAGGATACCCAAAATATATATATTTTTAAATTTAGAACGATTTTATTTTAAGTTTGTGGAATCCTGGGAATCAAAACTATTAGTATAAATAACATTAATATTTTTAAGTGATTTTTTTATAAAACGTATTGAGATTTTCTTTATGGTCTCAAAACGATTTTATATTTTTATCAAATTATTATACCATTTATAAAGGATTAAAAAAAAAAATAAAAAAAAAATCAACTAACAGAAGCCAATACTTGACAATGGCTTGGTGTAAAAAAAATACTCATCAATTGTTATTTTTGCCAACCTTTAATATAAAAATAACTCCCACAAGAGTTTCAAAAAAATATAGTCCAAACCTAAAAAAAAAATTCAATTGCGTTTTGGTTCTCTGCAAATCGGCATTTTAAATTTTTATAAAAAACATTGGTATAATGTTCTATACATAATCCTTGTTGAACCCTAAACATTTTTTAGTGGGACGGCTTTATTGTTTTTAAATATAAATATAAAATATATAGTATTAATATACCATGTTGTATGAATGATACATTAAATATAATACCATTGTAATTTTTCGTTTTTTACGTATATTTCTAGGACGATGATATGTTTTCGGAGTCCTTTCATACCGAAGAGGATGTACTACGTCTTGAGGTCGGGGCCGATGTCGAAGCGGAACCCGAACCGGAACCGGAACACGATCAGGAACCCGAGGTGGAAACCGCTATACGCCTCAAATCGGAGCACAAGGTCGAAGATTATCAGGCGAATTCTTTGGTAACCGTGAAGAGTAGTCCGTATGCCAATACGTCAAGTTCCTCCGCCCACCTGCGACACAATTCCGAACCGATGACTCGTATCCGTATCCGGCGAAGACGTAGCAGTAATGACACCGATTACGGGCAATCAGCGAGGAAGCGTAGAGTCGAGGAGATACCGGATAGGGATAGGGATCGGGAAAGAGACATAGAACGGGGGCGAGATAGAGATAGGAGCAGGGAAAGTGAGAGCGAGAACGAGTGCGACCTAATCGGCAGGCGGATGGCCACCCACTTCCGGCACATGAGACCGGATCAGCGCCTCTTCGCCGAACGGATCATCAGTGAAGTGCTTGTCTACGGCCGGATGAATCGTCTGTCGTTCGAGGCCCGCTTTCTTCCGGCGGGAAAATAAATACTGCCTTGTAAAATCCACAAAACAACTTAGTTTTTGGTCCTATTTCGAATTATAATATTATTTTCAGAAATATTTCTGTACCAAGTATTAATAATATAATTTCGTTCAAACCCCTTTTTCTTTCGGCGGGAAAATAGGTATAGCCTTGTAAAATCCCCAAAACAACTTAGTTTTTGGGCCTATTTCAAATTCCAATATTATTTTCAGAAATATTTCTGTACCAAGTATTAATAATATAATTTCGTTCGAAGCCCTCTTTCTTTCGGCGGGAAAATAGGTATAGCCTCGTAAAATCCCCAAAACAACTTAGTTTTTGGGCCGATTTCGAATTATAATATTATTTTCAGAAATATTTCTGTACCAAGTATTAATAATATAATTTCGTTCGAAGCCCTCTTTCTTTCGGCGGGAAAATAGGTATAGCCTTGTAAAATCCCCAAAACAACTTAGTTTTGGACCTATTTCGAAGTTCAATATTATTTTCAGAAATATTTCTGTACCAAGTATTAATAATATAATTTCGTTCGAAGCCCTCTTTCTTTCGGCGGGAAAATAGGTATAGCCTTGTAATATCCCTAAAACAACTTAGTTTTGGACCTATTTCAAATTCTAATATTATTTTCAGAAATATTTCTGTATCAAGTATTAATAATATAATGTCGTTCGAAGCCCGCTTTCTTCCGGCGGGAAAATAAATACTGCCTTGTATTATCAAAACAACTTGGCTTTAGGCCTATTTCGAAGTATACGATTATTTTATAATATTTGAAAGTGTATTATGATTGTATCTAATATTACTTTTTTAATTTCGAAAAATGTGCATAGGCTCTTGAGTTTTTATAGGATTGTATTACTTTCTCAACAGATTTTTTTTTCATTTAGTTTCTTATGCCTTTTGTAATGCCTTATGTTTAGAGTTAAGAAAGTTTGACTGTATTTCAACATCGAATATTTGTTAAAAATAAAAAACTTTAAAGTAAAATTTCGATTGTTTTTTAATGCCAAATAAAAGAGGACCCAAAAGGACTGATTTTTTAAAATTTAAAATAAAATGCAGACTAAACCAAATTCAAATAAAATCCAGGAGTTTGATACCTACATATGTATACAAAGTTTAAAAAAATAATAGAGAAAACAAGAATATTTTTTTTGTTCTATTGTTTTAAAATATAAAAAAAAACTTGTGAAAGTTTAGAAAGCATTAAATTTTTATTTTAAATTTAAATCGGATTAATAAGAACCGAAAAATGACATTTTAGGCGCCTGCATCGCGACGCAAAAATGCAAAAATGGCAAATGCAAAGCAAACGGCGAAAGACGAAAGAGAGACGCAAGAAGGAATGGGGGAGGAAAAGGCAAAAATAAAAAAACAAAAAAGAAACAAACCGGACCGGTTTTTATTCATTTTAAATTTGAGTGAGTGGTTCTGCATGCGGATCCCCCCCCACACTCTTCTTTTTTGTTTTTCAGCCTCCCTTCTTCTTTGTCTTCTTCTCCTTCTGGTTTTCTGCTGCCGACTGCGATTCTTTTATTCTTTTATTTCAGCTTTCTTTGCCTCGCTGCTGGTTTCTCCTTCTTCTTCCCCACTCCCCTTGTTTTCTGCTCACACGTTCCTTTTTTTTGCCGTTTCCTTTGCTTTAGTAACTTTAATTTGTTGGCATTGCCATTGCCGTTATACCGCCTTTTCTCTCTGTCTCGCATTCTAACGCCCTCTCTCTCTCTGTCTATCTTGCCCTTTTACACATTGCTCTATTATCGCTGCACGGAAAGAAATTAGGCTCTCTTTTATGATTAAATAAATATTCAGAAAAATGTATGGGCTCATAATTAATAAGCAAAACAAATCTATAAAAATTAATTTGGCATCAGTGGGTTTTGATACCAAGCTTTTTTTAAAAGATTCTGAAATCTGATTATGTTACATATTTTGAATATTTTTTAAATATTGCATATAAATTGATAAAGCACATTTCTTAAGTAAATAAACGTTTTTTAAACCATTTTTCTTAAAAAATAATGAAAATTCAATTTAAAATATGTAAGCATGTTATTCACGTAGACTTTTCTTTCTGTGTAGTTTTCGGTTAGGTCGGGTTCTCTATTTTCTTTTGTTTTCTTTATGCTTCTCTATTTTTTCCGTCAGTGAGCAAGGTGGTGCGAAAAGTGGATGGTAAATGGCAGAAGGGCGAAAATAAGAGAAAGGGGTTGTCTTATGGGTTCTCTTTATAAAGTGTATGTACATATGTACCACGTTCTCATGTAATTTGATCAAATTCTTAACTGTTATTTGTATTTGGTCACACCTTTGGTATTTTATTTAACCCTTAAAATGTAGAAAAACTAGTTTCTTTCTTTAATAAAAATTACAAAAAATTTAACATGTATTTTGACTATAATAAACTGGAATTCTGATTATTGTATCATTATACATATTAAAAAACTGGAATTTATGATTATGGTATGGAATTTATTTGGAATAAATATTAATAATTTGATATCCCAGGGGTTAATACTTAACTAATAAAATTTTAACATGTATTTTGACTTTTAAAAACTGGAATTCTAAAGTTTGTATCATCATATATATTAAAAAACTGAAATTTATTATTATGATATGGAACTTTATTATATTTATTTGGAATAAATATTAATAATTTGTTATCCCAGGGGTTAATACTTTCGAGATACCATTAGAGGTGCGGTTCGCATTCCTTGAGGATTACGGATTAGTTTTTCGGTCTCTTCTTCGTTCATTCTTTTTCGCATGTTCTATTTTATTTTCGCTAATCTTTTAAGTTCTTTACGCCACATGTGGAGGTTTTCATTTTTCTTATTCGCTTTCTTAACGATTAATTCTCCCCTTGCTTTGGTTAGCTGATTTCTTTTTTGTTTATTTGCCGTTTTGCAAGAAAATACAAAAATAAAAAAAATAGCCATCGGAAATAAGAAAATAAGAAAAATAAAAGCAGCAGCAGGTCATTAATAACTTTGTTGCCCTGTCCTTCCTGTTTTGTTTTTGTTTCGCCTTGCTCTGAATTTTTATTGCCGTTGGTCGTTACCTCGTGTTCCTCTTCCTCCCTTCATTTTCGTCCTCTCTATCGCCCTTCGCTTTTGCAGTCGATTCTTACAGTGCAAAAAATTAAGTTCAATAAGTCATAATTGAAATAAACCATTCTGTCAAAAAAAAAAGTTCTTGATTAAGATAATATTAAAAACAAAGGTTAAAAACCCAACGCTTTCCAATAAATTGTTTAATTTTTTATATTAACAATTCCTTTTGTTTTGTATTTTCATCATTATGGTAAAGTGTTAACTGGCTAGGATGAATTCTACATTTCTAGTAACAAAAGCCAAGGTTCAAGACCCACCACTACCCATTTAAAAATAATTTTTATCTTAACAGTTACATTTTACTTAATTTTATATTTTCAACAACTTAGTCTGGATTAAAAATGTACTTGAAATTCTTTAAATCATAACATATGTTTACTAAATACATGTGTAAGACAAACAGACTTTTCTTACTGTGTAACAATTTTGCCGTTGATGTTTTTTCTTCTTTTTCTTGCTCTTTTTGTTGCCAGCTTTATTTTTGGGCTTTTCGCTTTTGATGTCGATTCAGTTGTTGTTGTAGCCGGCATTTAAGCCGTCTCAGAAAAAAATACCAAAATTTAGCCAAATTACTGGCCCCCAGTTATTCGCCTCCTTTCCCCTTCTATTCCACACACACACACACACAATACTCAAATACACATGTGCACTGAAAATAATAATTGTTTGAATGTTTACATATTTTTGCATATATCCAAATTGTATAGTATTTTAAAAGCGTTAAACTATAGATCGATTTTAATTTTGCGATTTTAAAAATTAAAACGTATATAAATAGCAAGATTTTAATATAATTTTAACTATACATACATATATGTTTGAATTTGAAAGAAATACAAATTGTATGTTTTAAAATGATATTTAATATTAACAAAATTGTTACAGAAAATAAACTACATGCAACATATGTACATTTATATACATATGTATAAAACATTTTACAATCATTATTTTATAAGATCAAAATTTTAATGTTCCCATGGGCGTTAATTCATTGGGCGTTATTGCATACATACATACATACATCCAAAATGTTGTTACATACATATTTATTTATAAATAAATAAATAAATGTTTATAAATAAATAAAAAAAAAATTTATAAATAATTAAAAAAAATATTAATAAACAAAAAAACAAATATTTTTAAATATATTAAAATATCTATTTTTTTAATTTAATAAATAAATAAATGTTTATAAATGAATAAAAAAATTCTATAAATAAATAAAAAAATACTTAAAAATAAAAAAAACAATATTTTTAAATAATTTTTGTGCTTATTATTTTTAATTTAATTTAATATATTTTGAGTGGTAATTTTGGCCAGTGCATTGAAAATGAAACTTGTAGTTTCTGGAAAATTCGCATGTTTGAAAGTTTAGATGTCCACTGTGCTTGTGCTGTGTGTGTTTGAGTGTGTTTGTGTGTGTGTCGCCATTTGCCTTTCTCAGCGTCTTTGGTTTTGACATGTTGCCTGCTCCTGCTCCTTCTCCTCCTTCTCATCCTTCTCCTCCTTCTCCCTTTTCCACCCATTCGCCCTTTTGCTCTGGCAAACAGTTTTTGGTCGTAGTCAACCGCAATAATCCATCCCCATCTCGCTGTGTGTGTGTGTGTGTGTGTGTTTGTGGCACAAAATGAAAATGGCAAAACAAGGTCAAGTGTAGGGAGCAAAGTTTGTTTGAGTGCACACACGCACACAAACGACGTATAAACAAATAAAACAACAACAAGAAACATTAAGTTCACATAACTTTTTCATCAAGAAAAACCCTTGAGATTCCCCTATGTATTACATTACATATGTTTTCTATGTATTTAAGTACATTGTACACACAAATGTACCCAATTCTTTGATATTATTTTCTGAAATATTTTTGTACCTTTTTTTTGTAAATATTAATATATTAAATTAATTAACAGAAAGTTTACTTACATTTTTCAATGGGAGTAACTTTCTTATATTCCCGATTAATTTTTGTATCATTTTAGTTATTTATTATGAATATACAATGTACATATGTAGGTACATATGTAAGTAACAACAAACTATTACATACAAATGGTTTAAAAATCTAAAAATAACTTCAAATTAATATTATATTATACATATAATAATAATATAATATATAATAACATATAAACAATAGCAAATAAGTTCCTTAAGGTTAGTACCATTATTTAATATGTAGATAAAAAGGGGATATACTAACCAAGTTAGTACCATTATTTGTAATAGATAAAAAAGGGATATACTAGCCAAATTACATATTTCTATATAATAAGTAGCAATAAAATATAATAAATAAATAAAATCTAAATACCAAAGTTGCTTAAGGCCAATATTAATATTGGTTGAAAAAATTAAAGTTAAATAATAACAACATTAATTATTTATGTTTATATAATAGGACACGAAATTAAAATCTATAATTATACATAAAAAAATCTTTGATAATATATTGGATTTATTTTTTAGATCAAGAATCCGAAAAAACTTTATGTTTTGACCTTTAAAACATCATAATGGTATTATGGTATTACTGCTATTACAAAAATTACAAAATATGTATCTCTATATGAAACTAATTATAGAACTATACATTT